TCTTTCTTTCTTTATCTATCTATCTATCTATCTATCTATCTATCTATCTATCTATCTATCTATCTATCTATCTATCTATCTATCTATCTATCTTGTATGCACTCTCTGTGTATGAGTAATGTTCGTATCATATTATACACTAACTAAACAAAAACAAACTATACCGATGTACAATACCGTCAAAGCTTTATTCAGTAAATCTTCCCTGCATCTGAAGCCATAAAAAAATTGTGGCCAGGCGGCTGAAAATGAGCAACATCAGCACATAGATTATGTCTTCCGGCCATCGTGCTGAAATCAGGCGCTCGTCAAAATAATGAAATCGAAGAAACCAGCTTTTCGCCGCTGGTTTGGCAGTTTTTTTGTCAATTTTTGTTTTGTTTTTTTGTTTTTTTGTTTTTTTTGTTCTGATGTTGTTATTTTTTCCCGGCTCAACACATATGTGCATTCAAAAACATATTTCTGGATGGATTTATTGAAAGTCTTGATTAAAGGCACAAATAAATGTAAATGTTCAGTTTTCAAGGACTCTCAAGCTATGGAGACCACCAAACTTTGATGGACATTTGCACGCTAATTTTGCCTCTGAAAAACAGGCGACCCTCACCCTATAATCGCAGATATCTAGACTTCCATTCAAGATAGATTTTTCACCGAAAGCATGACAAACGTACTAGCTTTAAGATTATACCAGTGACTCCATACGCCCAAAATATTGACGAGCGCCTGATTCCACCACGTCGTGATGCAAATGCCTTCAGGGCATATTCTCGGCTGTCACTGGCTTCCTTGACATGATAGCCTATATTATAACGTTCTTTTTGTTCTCCATTAGCGCAAAGATTGCACAACTTTTCCTCTCCTAAGAGTTTGAAAAAAAATGGTTGCTATAATTATTAAGAAACCTTTACCAGGAGGAAGATAATACAACACGTTTTGCCGCAGGCAAAATCATCGCTAATAGACAAAAATTTAAAGATTTTCATCACGAAAACTTCACTTGACGACAATAAAACAGCTAGACAGATATCGTAAAAGGGCAACAACATTAAAAAACCGTGAAACAATAATTGAGGAAACCCGAGGAAAAGGAAGACAGTGGCTTGAGAATAAAGATTTAATTTAAATTCTGAGAGAGTCTCATTTACCGATAACTAAATTGAGAAAACCTTGTCTCAGTTGAAAGAGCTTCTCAGTTCGCCTCATAATGATAGTATACTAATAATATTATAGAAAACTGCTGCATCTCCTCTTGACGCCCAAAGGCAACAGAGAAGGAAAAAGAAAAAGTGAAAGTAAAATTCTCCGTCTCCTGCGACTTTTGTAGGTAGGAGAAATGGAGAGGAAGTCGAAGTGTGAAGGTGATCACATCGTGTACTACTTTTTTAGTATGGTTCATGGACATAGTTCTGGGTAGTTTTAGTTAAATGGTGCCGTTTGCGCTCATTTGAACCACATGGGGTAGAAAACGAATGTAAATGACATGACCAAAAAATAGAAATATATGAAATAAAAGTAAAGTAACTGAGAAAGTAAAGACCTGACAAAGGTTCTCTTCTGGAGGACCGTAAGGGTGGGTTGGGGGGGAGGGGTGAGACACTTGTCTTGAAACACAAAGAGAACTCGTTACGGCAATATGACTACAGCAAGG